TATTTTTTATATATATATAAAAAATAAGATACCCAGAGGCACTGGTTTGCATTAGGGCTTAATTTCCAGCTAAATTAAAAATCAAATCCAGGCATTTTGAATGCCTAAGGGGCACAAAAGCAGCACCTAAAATCATTAACTTTTGCACCTTTTATAATATATCCCAAACAGGTCAGATTTGTTTTTCAAAATTTTGTAGTAAAATAAAAGTGCTCTTTGAGGAAAATCTATGCAATTAAACAGCAGATGCTTAACCCCTGAAAAATAGAGGCTTATAACAGAAGTGCTGATAGACCCTTAACCATAGCATCATTAGCAGCAGGTGCTGCTAGAGTTGTTAGTTTTCTAAATAGTTTTAATGTAAACAGTATTCTTAAGCTCTAAGTGTAGCATAATGGTTGGGATTTGCTCTTTAATTCTTTTTACTAGAAAGATACAGCTCATTTAAAATAGCTGGTAGATACAGAAAGCATAAATATACAGTAAGTTTAGACACTGATTGTACTAAATGCAACAATACAAAGAAGCAAACAGGAACACAAATGGTAACACAATAAAACTGTATTACATTTGTGCTTCAAATATTACAATACATTATATACAATAGTCCAAAATAAACATCTCATGCCAAATGACACAAAAAGAAACAAAAACCCAAACAAACCAAAAACCCCAAGAGCAAGCAAAAAGAATCCAGCTGTATGTACAGTACCTTTTTAATTAACATTCAACTCTGAACTGGAGAAATTTTCACTACATACAGATGCAGTCCGCCTTTTATTTCACGCAACCATTCTGCCTCCTATCTATGCTATTCAGTAGGTTCCTGTGTCATTTCTTATATACATGTTGAGCAAAAAAGATAAAAGAACATAGTGCTTTGTATTCTTAATGATGTGGCATCAGCTCAGCGAACCTGGGGTGCATAACCTTCTTTCATTAAACCCTCCTCATAGTCTGTCTGGCACAGAATCATGTTGTTCTTCAGGAAAAATTTGTCTCCAACGCAAAATCTGAAATTACAATAATAAAGGAAAGAAAAAAAAGGTAGTTTCAGGACGAATGATGTGATAAGATCTTACATGTAAGGCTTGTACAACAAATGTTCACGATTTTGTTGCACTGACCGCACGTCTCGCACCTCTGCTGTCTGTCGCAGAGCACGCAGACACGTGTGCACGTATGTAAAAGCCCTGTAAAAGCCCAGCAGAGGAATTGCTTTGGTATCAGAACTAATCCTGTGCTTTCAACAAAATCTAGTGCATTCAAGCGTTTTTGCTTCCCCAGCCAAAAACTTCATTCAAAGCCCACCAAAGACTGTGGGAGTCTTGGATCAGGTCGCCAGCACACAGAAAAACCAGAATAAATATCCCAGGCTACTGTGCTGAGTGAAAAGTAAATGTCCTGCTTTCACACAAATCAGAAGGAAAACAAAGTGACTGTATGCAGGAGGAAGCCCATCTGAGAGACGGTACATTTGTCTTGTGCAGGCGTACCGGTAAGAATTTCTTGTTACATTCCAGTTGGACATTTTACTAGAATTGATTTCAACCGGTGGTTCTGAGAACTGTTTCTAGCATACACACAACTTTACATCTATTGTGGTGCAAACTAGAGACACACAGGCAGGTATGTGGAGTAACCTTTTTTCTTTTCTCCTGTAGGAGTTGATTATAAATGTAGTTACTCAACTAACTACTCTCTCTCTTGTGGTATCAGCAAACCTACCTTGTTATACTATTATGTGCATCAGAATGACCTGATTGCTACAAAACACTACCGAGATATTTCATTCGATTTTCTCTGATGAGTAGGAAAATCACGTAACGTTAACGCTGCTGGCTGGCTGGCTGACTTCAAACTTGGAGTGAAGGAGGATTTCCCAGCTCAGCGGTACGCTTGAATCTAAGAAGGCTCTTCACTGACACCCCCCTCAACCTTCCCCCCCTTTTTTTCCGCAAAGCCAATCTTCTTGAAGATACTTAGGGAGCAAGTGAATAGGGCCAATGCATAGAAAAAGAGTTTCCCTAGTGACTGCCTTGGCAGGGTTACGTGCCTTTGTTTATAGTGAACTCTCCAGCTATAAAATATATTGGGAGGCACTGCTCACATTATTCCAATTAAAATGAAAGAAAGTAACCTAAATGAACCCCTTAACACTGATGTGAATAAATGAAACCAGTTTCTACCAGCTAATTATGGATCTCACTACATAAAGTATTGTTTAATGTGTAACGGATTATAATGTCCTTTTTTGTATAATTTCCAAATGGTGACATCCTGGACACAATTAGGGTCAGATATAAATGCCTGTGTTGTTTACGGTAGATTTAACAACAGAGTAGCTATGGGAATAGCTGTATATGTATTTAATTGTAACAATTTAACCTTCAAATAGTGGTGCCTGCTGTAGTTGACCCAGTAAAACTACGTAAATGACACAGGTTGACCTGCCTGACCTCCGATAGTGGTCTCTCTTTATCAGATAGTCAATTTCTAATGATGTTCGAGCAGAAATCTTGGTGAATTGTCACAGATTAAATTGTGTATTGAAAGCAGTCCTTTAATGTTTTGTGAAGTTGGAGGTTTAAATGAGTAGCAGTTGGACTGATTTACATTTGTGAAGATTGGAATGCTAGACAAACAGTGAACCCATTTATTTTCCAACTGGGTAGCTTTGGAAATTTATCCTTATGCTAGCTAAATAGATAGAGGGAAAATAGTGTAATAAAAAAGTGGATTGAAAAGAATTAGCTCTGCTCTTAAAGGAAAATTGGTTTGTTTATTTGTGGACTTTTTTTTTTTCTGTAGGATTACTGCCTGCTGCTGCTGATGATTGAAAATAGAGATTACGGAATGATCCTGAAATCTTTAAGTTATTTATGGTCAAGACTCTTTTATAGAATTTACAGGTTCCCGCTATCCTTCCCACCCCAATCCTGGCATACCAGGCTACTAATAACACAAAAGTGTTTTGAGTAGCTGTGTTGAAATGCTGAATTCTTGAAGCAAAGAAGTTCTTCGGCAGTTTCTCTAGTTTCCATCTTTTGTATTTTTGTCCATTGACAACAATGCTGAGAAAAATACTTTTGTGCAACTTACCAGATTAGATGAAGGAGCCTTAACTAGTGCTGATATGTAAAAGTGTTTTCCCCAAAGAAGTCACATTACAAAAAAAAAAAAAAAAAATTCAGTCCTTCTGAGTTTCTCTTAAATGAACATACGGATTAATATGGACTAAAGCAGGGGAAGTCAGGCATTGTGACAAATCACGCACTCCATTACAGTTAGCCCAAAGGTTACCAATGGCGACTGAGAGGGGGATGTCCCGCCAGCAGTGCCCACCACACAGAGGGTTTTGCGCAGCAGGGCGGCTCTCCCCGTGGGTCAGGCACCAGTGGGAGACACAGCCACCTCTGCCCACCCAGCAAAAAGCACTCGCTCTGAACGGTGAGTGTAATTCAGCTACGTAATCTTTTGTCTTCCAGTGTAATACAGAGCTTAGTGGACTAATTTGTTTAAAATACTTAGTAAATGAAAAATACACTGCTGAAGTGCAATTCACATGCCATGGCAATACTTTCACATGTGACTTCTTGCAACATTGCTTGCATCAAAACGCTGGCCGAAGGATTTTGTTTCTCAGCCCTCGGAGAAGTGCCACGGTTTGAATTAAACTGCACCAGCTACGGGACGCCTTTCCCAATAAAAAGTGTCAATGCCTTTTGCTTTTGCTATGTTAATATGTCGAGCCAGAAATGCTCTACCTATGTCTACATGGCATTTGACAGCTTTATGCATGAGTGGCCTTAAACATACACAGTTCCACAAATCATTTACCTTCCAAGTGTACAGCTGTCTCGTGGAGAGGCTGCCAGTGGCCTGTCTAGACACGCTTGGCTGTCTGATAACCTGTGGGGTGGGGGCCCAGACACCCTCTGGGTTCATCTGGGGCTGCGCTTGCACACTGGGGGTGATCCTCTGCCTTGGGGAAACCTGTTAGTTGGGATACTTAAGGGCCAAACTCTGCAACCGTTTTCGTATTGTGCAAGTTCAGCGACCGAAACGCATTGGCAAAGACTGACGGTGAGGTTTGCGTGTGCCCCTGGGTATTAAACGTGTGAACTATGCACTCATTAGGTGACAAAGAGGTAAGCACCAGGTGAAAAACATATAAACATGGTTTGCTAGCTCCCAAGTAAAATGAAACAAGGCAAGGAGATGGATGAAGTATGAGAAATTCTGTCCATCCCCACTTACAGTATTATTTGACTCTCAAAAGCAGATTTAGCCTCCGCTGAAGTCAAAGAGCTAAATATTGCAACTACTTCAGATGGGTTTTGAACACTCCAGGATTTAAACCTTGTTCAGCTTTAAAATGGAAGGGTAAATTCAAGCCTAGCCTTCCACCTCCAGCAAGTGTTGTTTGGTTTTTTTGTTGTTTGGTTTTTTTTTTTTGTTTTGTGTTTGTTTTTTTTTTTAATGGAATTGGCATAGGATGTAAATCAGGGCACAGTTTGGGCACGTATATCAAGTGGAGTCAAGGAGCATATTGAGATGCCACTGGGTTAGGAGTATATAATGAGGCAAGACTATTACTCTTCTAGCAAGCAGATGGTAGTCTTCAGCTTTCCCTAAAACCCTCACCCAATTTATTTAATAGGCATGCAAGATGAACGGGGGAAAAAAATCTACAATAGGCTGCATTAACATGCCAGATTGGACTTACCACCATAAATTGATAATGCTACTTTTGACACGACTGTGACATTAGCAGAATGACCATTATAATTAACCTACATCCTAGAACTCCTGTCATATTTTACAATGGCAAAAGGAAGGCCATTTATATTAGAAAATGACCTCTGTTATCACCTTGTTTGGAAGGCGAAGGTGTGCCTGGACTAATCACAAGTAGTATAAAACTTCCATTTTGAGAAACAGCTACCTCATTGTTCAGAACAGATACTTAAGGAGATCTCCCTGCTGTCTGTCATCTTTTCTGATGTACAGGATGTGTGTCAAGGTACTGAAGACTTCTTAAGAAAGCGAGAGAAATATTGCTGTGCACAAAGATGGCTGTGTGTGAAGTGCCTCCTTTGGTAATGCCAGATCTTTGGTTTTGTAGAAAGAAACAAAATCTGGAAGCATTTAAATGATTTCCTCTAGGATAAAGAAAGATCAGACTTACCGCACCCACACCCTTCCCCTCTGCTTTGTGCGCTCAGTGATGTACCTTGTCCTCTGCTTTTCCTCCTTTCCTCTTTTAAAGCTCCTTTGAGTTTCCAGCATAACTCAAACTAATGTTCATCTATATGTAACGCTGAGAGAACAAAGCCACTCTTTTACATCGCAGTTCATCAGTCCACACCTACGGTTTACTAATTCTAGGTTTCTGTCAAAAAGTCCATTTATTGTCAAAGGCTGGAAAGTGGGAGCTGTGCCTGGGTTTGTACATTTTTGCCAGTACGATGTCGTATATATACACACACAGAATCCTAGGTCAACTTACAAAGACAAACCTCAACTTGGTGTTCTTTGTATTTACTATTTTTTTTAAAAGCAGGTAGGGAAAATGTATTAATTTTTATTCTAAATTTAGAGACACTCAATGAAAATAAGCAGTATTCAGGTCTTCAGAATTTATAAAATGACCACTCATGCAAAAATCTAATGTGGGTGTTTGAAATAAGGATGTCCCTGGAATTGCATTCCCTCTCCGCGGCTTGACAGAGAACAAAGGCAGCATTGTGTGGGCATTTTACAGTTTATACTGGAGGTAAGTGTTTACAACTACATCAGAACAGCGATTTGAATGTGTGTGTAACCATTTTCAGTCCAGTTCCCATTAAAATAAAGGCTGTTTCAGATAGAAGGATAGAACAGTTGATTTAAATACCCTTCAGTGATAGCAGATGGGGGTTTTAAACCATACCCTGAGTTGACTTCAAACTGCAGAGAGAAAATATCACAGAAGTATGGAACAAGCTGCTAAAGCAGCCGACAGAGTGAAAGGAAGGACACGGACACTCCGGAAAGTGGGAAAGCCGAAGGCAGACTGACATCACTGCTGCAGTCAAGTGTCGAGCAAAGATACAGCTGAGCCCACTCGCAAGATTTTCCACTCCATTTTGCTAGTCACACACATGCAACTTGACAAAGTGCGAAAGGCAGTGTCTGTTTACAAGTTTGTTTTTCCAGTGGTTTCCTTTTTTTTTTTTTCCCTTTAAATTTTCTACAGAAATTAACTATATTGAGACTACTGCCAAAGAGAGGTGAAGTGCTGCTGAGGAGAAGTTTAATGTGTTTACAGAGAAGAAAGAGGAGCACTCACACCATTAAGATGACTGTCACTAAGCTCTGTGGGTATTCAGGAGATGGAAAAACTTCAAATTAGGAGTAAGCTGTACAGAGACATGAAAGATAAGGGGATGCTAAAACCTTTAGGCTAGGAGCAGAGCTTAATATTCACAAAATCCCTTCAGCGTTAAGCATCAGTATCAAGAAAAAAATGAAAATATGTCAAAAACTGGCTGGATGGAGCAATTAGATCCCAGAGCTGAATAGCTTTATGAAAGGGAAAATATGAGACAGCGCTTATTTGACACCAGGGACTAGGCTTGGTGGCTCAGGAGATGTCTTTCAGTCCTATGTCTACAGTCCTATCTACAGCCTGTCTTCCTAGAATACAGTATGTGAGACAACGTGTTTTTCTTCTCACTCTGAAAGTGTAGCCTTCAGGAGGCCCATAAAAGGGGACAGGCACATTATGAGTTAGCTCAGAGATGGAGTTTATGGCCCGAACAAAAGTCCCCTGAAATCAAGGGAGTCTAACTACCATCCACACTGAGACTTGAGCTGGATGGTGAGTTGTAGATACTCAAAAATAAGAAAACAAACACTGAAGTTGTACATAAAAGCAGAAAAATCACTGAATCTTTCACAAAAAGCACTAGGCAAAAATGAGCAGGCCTCTCACTGGGCCAGGATCAACTATTTAAAGGGTAGGAATATGAGGGTCACGCAATAACAAGACTGAAGAACGGGCTGCCTCCAGGCTTGGTGTGATGTGAGTTAATCTCATTATTAGGTAGCTCGGAAGGCACAAGGGACTGGAAGGAGCAACCAGACGCAGAACGTCAGAACTTCAGTGTTGGCAAAGACAAAGTAGTGCAAAGTGACGAAAGGATTTAGTCTACTCATGAACATTGCATATACTCTGTTAGGAAAAAAAAAAACAAACCTAAATGGTAGATGATAACTGAAAACCTGAAATATGGAACCAAACAGAGAGCGTTATATACTCTGTGGTAGCACTCCAGATATGTTGTGCTTTTACTGGTATAAAGAATGACCCAAAGGATTTAAAATTTAATGGGGGAAGAGAATATGAAGGTGGGGAATAAGGTCAAACATACAAGTCTTGCAATAGCTGGTGAGCCTTGCTGCCTCTGTTGCTGATTTTTTGATATCACCGATGTGTTTGTAAATAAAAATATTCTCTTCAATAAATAAATTCCACATCAGGGACAGTGGCTGGAGTGAGCAGATCTAAAAAACCTCAATAACATAATTTTGCATACAAAGGGGCAGCATGGGATAAAGAAAGAAAATTAAACTGCTATCTTATAAACTCATCCTCAACCAGAATCTGTTGTTTGGTTTTGATTAGCTTAACTAGAGGAAGAAAAAAGGATCCTGAGAAGGGCAACAGAAATTATTAATGGCATGGTGACTGACAAGATTATTCAAAGAAAAGAAAAAGGTTTCATAGCAGATACAAAACCCCTCCAAAACTGGTAATGGGTCAGCTGTCTAGCATTTTTGGGTTTTATTGTTATACAAGTAATGAAAAACAAAAGATTTAAAGCTATTTATTAATGAGCGAATGTAGTCAGTGGGATGCTTTCCCATAGGAATCACAGAAGAGCTACACTGGAGCATCCATGAAATAGGATTTATTATAAAAAACAACAAAATTAATTCTTCAGAGTGCCACTAGCCCCAGATTGTGAGCAAGAAAAGTACCCTACAGGCAGTCTGTTTTATTAGGCTCTATGAGAGCTATTGCAATATAATCAGGATTAGGGCCACTTTTGAGAATTTCTGAAATTCTTTGAAACTTCTGGAAATGCTCCCTGTTTTGACTAGATGAATTAGACTGTATTTCAGGTAGATCAATTCTTTTGTTCCCAGACTAAGACTCCTGTAAGACTATTTCAGCAACTCTTTGCCCAAACTACATGCAAAGTAAAAATCAAATAAAAGACTAGATTGAAGGCTCAGGAATGACAAGGCTAAGAATTATTAAATATCCCAGGAAAGCTCCATTTCAGAAACACCTTACAGCACTTTTCCAGGGGGATCAGTGGCCCTAGGGCACAGTATGATGTATATTAGCTGCAAAGTGAAACTGTACATTAGTTCACACTTGTAGTGGTAAAAGAGGAGTATTGAAAAGAATCACAACAGCTTCACTTTTTTGGGGAGAGAAAAAGAAAGTTCCCTTCCTCAGATCCAAGAGTGCTAACTATGATGAAAATCTTTTGCACTCTGGGTAGCAAACAGTCTGCTTTGCTTGACTGATGAAGATTAGCTGACTTCTTACATTAAAGAAGTTTGTCTTGTATGGGCTGAAGTGACAAGACAATAACTAAGTGCTAATTGTGCATAACCAACACTAAAGATATGCAGCCCCATTATGGCATGTAATAAATGAAGCGAACAACAGAAATATATTAGGCGCTTTAATAATGATACTAGAACTGTGGTTTGAAAAAAACCAGGGATGTGAAGGGTTTAAGAAACGAAACCTAGGAGAGTGCGTGTGTCTCACTTAAGTGCGTGCTACGGGAGGCTCTGCCTGCCTTACTCAGAATACAGCCTCTTAGTTCTGTGGCAAGACAAAATTGATATAGGACTTTAAAAAGCATTAGAACCTATAATTACTTTGCATTATTATATAGTTTAAGGAGTGGTTATTACTTGCCTGGTATTTTAATTTCCCATGCAACATGATGAAAAAGGTCAATTTGGCTTTTTTTAAAGAGCGTAATTGTAGTGTGCTACACTTATTAGCAGCTGTACATTTTATGGTTCTTTAGGGATGTTTGATTTTTAAATGACTACAGTGTTACAAAATAATACACTGTAGGACAAGGTAAGTTAGCAAAGCTTATTTAGAGCTGTATCTAACTTTGTCGTGTTAGACTATTATCTTCCTAATTTTCTATTACTTCCCTAGAAGGGTACATCTTGTGTTTCTTCCCACCTGAAAATGAAAAAAATATCAACACTATAAAACTCTAAATAGGATCATGTAATAACTGAAAAATAACTGAAATTAATAGGTACATTAAGGAACGGACATAATTGGTTCTCTCATTTCCTAGACGTTGTAGAAGTCACTGGCAAAGCTGCTAGCAGCTCTCGAGGAGTCGGAAAAGGAGCTCTCGGTGAAATCTCTGACAGAATTTGGCCACCATCCTGAATGTAGTTGCTATAAGTTCGGCTGTATTCACCTCTGAAAAATTCAGTTGTTTCAATTTTACCATTTTTGACATTTGTTCTGCAACTGTACCGTATGGGTGATGTTTCAGAACAAAGCATCAGGTTTGGATCCTTGGGATTTTTATAAACTACAGTTAGGATATGGAAATAAAAATATGGCATATGAAGTCCAATGCTGCTACAGAGAAAATGGTGTGAACAACATCTTTTAAATTTAAATGATTACAGTTCTCGCAACAGGAAGAAACAACATGTACTTTAAAAGAAATACATGTGATAAAAATGAAGAATTAAAGTGAAATTAATGTAATAATGACAAATGGTACTGCTACGCTCTTCTGCAGAAAAGGATCTCAAAGTCCTTTTAAAGTCCTCATAAATATTAATTAATTAAACTTGACAGACAGCTTTTTGAAGGAGAGGAAGTAGCATTATTCTTTTTTATTGATGTGAGATTTGAGGCACAAAAAGTTTTCTGGCCAAGGTCATGACAGATGTTCTGTATCAGTCCCAGGAAAAGTATCCAGGTCTTACTCTCAATCTTGGGTTTCCATTACTGGTAGATGTTTCCTCTTGACTTGAATGTGTGCCCGCACCAGTGCCGCACTAGCACTTAGCTTACGGAACAGACCCAAGAAATTCTCTTACCTCTGATTACAAAGTTGACATGCAAAACAGTCCAGGTGATAAACATTGTCCTTTGCTCTCATCACCATCTCAAAAGCAGGTATGAGCTTACTGCAGGCAGCACAGTTTCCTGTAACACCAAATAAC